AAAGCTTCCATCCTTAATTACTTTAAGAAGAAACAACAGGAGCATTAGTATAAGTGATCAGACATTCGTGTCAGTCTGTCCTGTGTTTTATTCTGTAAAGTGCTATGTAGGTTTCTCTAAGAGCAGCAAGACAGAAAACAATTCATATTCCATGCAACTATTGCAGAATGCTTCCTGAGTTTTCAATCCTTTCACTGTTTATGCAAAATTGTTGAGGGGAGAAAAATGACAGCAGAGTTCAAGAATGCGACACGATAATATTTTGAAGCAGCAGAGAAATGTATCATCCTTTGTAATAGAAAGGTAAATGACGTGGTTGATCTGTAATGATTCATTAACTGACATATAGTATACATGCCATCACTTTTCCGGGCATTTCAGTTTTATATATATAGCATTTTAGCAATAGCAATAGCATTTACCGCAGCACTCTCTGGGAGGTTAACGGTGTAAGTCTTATTTGCATATTTTCCTCCAATAATCTGGGTCCTCATTTTACTGACCTCAGAAGAATGGAAGGCTCAACTTTGAGCCCCACCAGGATTGAATTCGAGGCTCTGAGCACAGTTTGCCTGCAATACTTTAACCACTACACCACCGGGGCTCAGTATATGAAAGCGATGATCAAGAATATACAGTATAATCCTGTTCCTACTCTGCACTATTCAGACAAGTGAGATAAGATGTGGGTTAAGAGATTTCAAAAAGGTGCCAGTGGTTACTTAAAGCAGATATGTCCATCTTCCCCAGAGAAGGAGGTTGAGCAGGAAATGAAAGCTAGGATCTTGAATGTCAACCTTGCAGGGCAATCCAGACAGGAAGCATGCCCAGATGAACTAAATATACTTTATTGTAAGGTTACATTTACAGAATCTTGTAAGTCTGAAATTACATTTGTCTCCCTCACCTCCTTTACAGCACAAGAAACTTGGGAGGGTCCATTCTGAAATGTTTGCCACACACATATTCCTATTCTGAGCTAAGCTGCCTTCTATCAGACTGGCTGTAGCTGTGGAACTTCTCACTGTCTCCTAAAGTCATTTCCACATGCCATTACAGCAAGTTGTATTTTTTTTTTTTGACAAGGACTCTATTCAACAGATTGTCAAGCCCAAAATTGACATATGTGTAGCCATTTTAGTTAGGCTTAGTATATATTCTTTTTCTTACTTTCTTTGTGGCAGTCATGGGGGGAAGGGTTTCGGGGTTGCCACATTCCTAAGCGGGGGAGGAGTGGAGATAGAGTTGTTTTGGCTAGGTGATTCTTCTTCCCGTGGGAAAACGAGCTGTCCATGCTTCGGCCCCTTGAGGTGGAGATTTATGACATCAAGCAACGTTGAATTATTTATATTGGAGAACGTGACTTTTGGGGGTTGTTTCTAACTTTTAACATTGTGGGGTAATTCCGGGTTCTATCAGATCCAGAATTACCACAGTCTTTGCCAATTTGATGCTTTCCTAAATAAAAGAATTTGTCTTGGAAGATGGACTTTGTTCTTTAATTTTTAAATGGATTTCATCACTTGGAAACCTGACACAGGTTCAATCCCTGTGACCACTTCAGTCTGAGTTCCAATTTGTGACTGTGATCCACAGTAACTCTAACCGCCAAGCACAGGTCATCCTCGACTTCTGGCCACAACTGAACCCCAAAATTATGTTGTTAAGTGAGTTTTGCCCCATTTTATGACTTTTATTAAGGGAATCACTCAGGGGTGGGATTCAAATTTAACAACTGGTTCTGTGGCTTAGTTGGTGGGCGTGGCTTGGTGGTCATGTTATTGGCTGGGTGTGGCCAACTCAATATTGCTCACATCGAGGCACGCATCTCCTCGCCTGGCCTTTCATGACTGTGGGAAAGCTACAACAGTCGTAAGTGTGAAAAATGGTTATAAATCACTTTTTTCAGTGCCATTGTAACTTTAAATGGTCACTCCACACAAGCAAAGTACCAGTAAAGAAGGGGGAAAAAACCTCCAGAGAAGTTCCTGAGACAGGAAGTCCAGTCCTGCCAAGAATGTAATAAGGGTTAATGGAGAGGCAGTTTCTCTAAGCAACACCAGAATGTTTCCTTCCTGCCTTCTTTACAGGATTAGGCCAGTAATTTCTTCTAACAACCAGTTCTCCGAACTGCTTAGAATGTTAACAACCGGTTCTAGCGAATAGGTGCAAACCGGTAGAATCCCACCTCTGGAATCACTGCAGTTGTTAAATTATTAACATAAATTATTAACCTTGTTAAGGGAATCTGATTCCCCCCATTGATTTTGCTTGTCAGAAGGTTGCAAAAGGGGATCACATGACCCTAGGATACTGCAACCATCATAAGTATGAGTCAGTGGCCAAGCTTCCAAACTTTATTCATTTGATCATGGGGATGCTGCAATGGTCATAAGTGGGGCAAACGGTCAAGTCACTTTTTTCAGTGCCGTTGTAACTTTGAACGGTCATTAAATGAACTGTTGTAAGTCGAGGACTACCTGTAAGTGGGAGAATAGGGGGCTAAAGAGCAGAGAAGTACTGGAAATCAGAATCAGAATCATAAAAAAGCCACTACCACCACCAAGAAACTTTAGAGGACACTATCAAAAGACTGACATTCAGCCATTTCATTCATACTGCATGCTGTTCAGAAGTTTTAGCCTTGAATTGGTTCCTTAGATAAGAAGAATTAAGATCATACTTCTAAAGCCATCTTTCTCCTATAAGATACTTTCTTTTCTGGCATTGGATCTGTAGAATTAATAGCCCTTTGGTTCTATTTCTGTGGGACTGATTTACTGGCACTTAACGGTGGCTGAATAGCCTCTCTCTTGCTTTCTGTTTCCCTGAAGGTCAGAACAAAGCCTTAAGGCAAATATTTCCCTCCAAGTTTTAAAATGAAGAGCAGCAAAACCTGATCGAAAAGCCTCTGCAGGAGCTACAGGGACTAGAGACAAGCATGCTAGATGACCACATATGTTTGCCTCTTCCTTTTAATGTTTTAAAACATTAAGATATCACTAAACTAACCACTCTACATGCAGTCATGTAACCACAATAGTACACGATGCAGCAATTTCCCTAGAACTGGGTATACTCTTGGCCAAACAAAAATTGGACTTTAGTTACAACACTTCTTTTTTCCCCCCAGCAGAATTGTTATCTGGAAGGGACACATGTGGATCCATTTTGCTGTTTGTTGACTAAACACAGAAAAACAAGGTTGTATTATTTATTTTTAATGCAGAGAATCATAATACCCAGTGATCAGAGGTGGTATTCAGCAGGTTCTGACCAGTTCTGAAGATCCGGTAGCAGAAATTTTGAGTAGTTTGGAGAACCAGCAAATAGCACCTCTGACTGGAGATTTTACAGTATCCTTTCCCTGCCATGCCCACCAAGCCACGCACACAGAACCGGTAGTAAAAAAAAAAAAATTGAATCCCACCACTGCCAGTGATAGCTTTGAGTATGAACAAGCGCAGGAAAGGGTATGTGTGCGCTTGTGTGTGAGCGTGCATGTATATGAATATATTCTGTCCTTCCTTTTTACAAAGCTGTTGGTCTTGAAAACAATAGCTCTTTCAGAATTTCTGTGCGATCTCCCTTCCAAAATGGCAACCTTTCACCCTATGCCCAACAAAGAGGGGTGGTGACATGTGCACACACCAGATGGGGGCCCAAAGTAACAGAACCAGTCAGGATTCCTTCTGAAAAGCAAACTTACAGTACACCAGCTGTCTAATTGCAAGGTTGCACTTCATCTGTTAAGGCTGCCCAACTTGACAGAGAAATAAAAAGTCAAAGAAAAGCATGTATTGTTTTCTCAGGCAAGTTCAAACTGGAGATGGAGAAACAATGGCATCATTTCCTTTTCAAAAGAAAACCAAAACCCCTAGACAAACATGCATGAAAGAAAAGAAAAATCCACAATTCAGATATTCCAATGGCCCAACCAAAAATGTAGAAATCATCCTTATTATTTTATCGCTCATCGGTGAGGAATTTTACAGAATTGAACTGTCATAATCTAGTACTTTTGATTTATGTCAAGAGGATATAAACTTTCAATTTTTCATATGAATTGAGTCCTGAAAAGACTGATCAGCATATCTTAGATAACTTATAACTTGTTATACAACATACAAATTGTATGTCCAGACTGAAAAATGAAGAACATTTAGATATTTGAACCAGTAGAACAACTGCCTACCTACAAGTCAGTAGTATTTACTAGGCTTGTCAATAATTCCCAAGAACTTTTATTCACTGATTGTATTATAAAAAATAGATGAAGTTATCGTCCAAAATGTAACAGAAAAAGACACCAAATATAGCAATTATTATTTAATCAAGAGCACTTTTTCATTTATTCTGGCATTTCATCACTTGTTGCCTGACATATATGTTGAATATTACAGGCAGGGCTCCATTTAACCAAAGCGCAATGATTTCTGATCACAGTGAATGTAATGATATAAATTATACAATAAGTCTCCTGAAAGTTTCAGTTAATTTATTCAGTTCAATTTACAAAGTTTACATTGACTGCTAAAATGTAAACCAGATCACAATTTATATTAGGCACAGCTTTAACACAATTTTAAAACCCCAGAAACAAACATGACTCTTCTTCTGATGTCACATGAATTTGGAAACAGACTTAAGAGAACTTGCAGAATGCTTCCATTCTAGTATCTTTATTCCCTGTTACCAGGATAAGGCACCATCCCTGAAGCAGATACCTGGGCAGCTCCCTCAGATTCTATATCTCAAGACATACAGAAAGACATCCTCTAAGTCTAGTAATCTGTACTTATACCCTTTCCAGATATCTCTTAGACTCTAAGAGATATCTGGAAAGGGTATAAGTACAGATTACTAGAATATAAAAGCAGTAAATATGCAAAAGGAGCATTTTTTGGAAAACGGATGTGAACTGTTTCAGGCACTAACTTCCTCATCCACGGGCAAAACTGTAGAACTATGGAAATTAACTAAAGCTTTGGACCCAAACTTCATGGAGTCCCTGTTTTCAATTCTAAGGCAGAAAAATGTTGAACGGTTCGTGAGGTTTTACTTCTAAATTTTTGTGGACTCTGATCACCCATCGTTTTTTCTTTCTCTGAAGCTACTTGACTATTATCAGGAGCCTTAGCTTTCCTCTGGTTCCACCATCTCACAGCTGCAAATATCAAAGCAGCCAGAACTATAAGTCCAAAAATAATTCCAAAAATAATTCCAACAACGTTGCCAGATCCTGATGCTGAACCTGATCCCAATTCCACCGTGGGAATTGTTTCTCTTTGGGTTGGGTACATTGGAATGAACGTAGTCTCATCTACTTCTGGAGGAACAACAACGGTAGGGGGAACTATTGGGGGGACAGGGATTGGAGTGCCTGGTAGAGGGGGAGGAACTGGTAGAGGGGATCTAGTAGTTGCTTTGGTAGTTGCTCCAGTCTTATCACAACGTGGAAGTGAAGGCTTCCATGTATTATCAGCATCACATCTAACCCAAGAGTCCCCTACCAAAGTATAGCCAGGATTGCATTCAAGTGTTACTCTATCACCATATGTATAGCTAGGTTTATATATAGTTCCCAATCTCCCGTTTGGGATGCTTGGTTTTGCACACTTGACTTTTCTACATTCAGGTGGTGAATTCCACTCTCCATTCCTACCATCAGCTGCAACTCTACAGGTAATTGTTGACTTTCCAATAAGGGAATAATCAGCATCACACCGGTATATAACAGAGGAGCCCACAATATATGAATCTGTAGAATCAGCATCATACCTTCCATTGGAAATTGTAGCAGGGCGAGGACAAGGAATCTGTTCACAGAATGGAAGGTCTCTGTGCCACCTAACTTCGCCTCCTCTTAGAATACACTGAAGGGTACTTTCACCTATCATTCTGTATCCAGCATTGCAGCCCAAGGTTACTGTTTCACCAAGCCGGAGATCATCTGACTCTAATATTTCTCCATTCTCTAAATGGGGAACTGGACATCGCTTCCCTTGACATAATTCAGTAACCTCTGTCCACGTTCCACCTGGAGAGCATGTCAAAGAAGGACGCGCCCTAGGTATAAATTCATAACCTGGGATGCAAACTAATCGTAAAACAGTTCCAGTATCATAGCTGTCTTTTAGGGTTTCTGAACCTCTTAGTGTAGACCTGGGGGGTAAGGTTGGGGTTGGGCAATCGCATAAAACAGTTGAAGACAGGAACAGCAGGACCAAGACAACTGTCGGGACCCCACCGGAACAAGAAGAAAGACCCATCGGAATACCTAGAAAATCTGGAGACACATCCTCTGACCCTATAAACAAAAATAGTTGAGGTTTGTGGAAGAATTGAAGCTGTTTGACCATTAACAAATGTTTTAAGCAAATATTTAGAAAGCACTACAAGCAAGTGGGTACATAATACCAATTTTATATTATATTTGTGTCATAATATAAATATATAATGTATCTGCCACAGCTTCAGCTAGGTGTGACCAATTTCTTGGGAGTCTGCAAGAACAGTATAAATATAATATATATAT